CGAACCTGTATCCTATTCGGAAGCGTCATTTACGCCGACGTGCCTAACCTCTAGGCCACAAAGGATCGCTCGGTTGGCATAGTCGAATATATACTGCTTATAAACTTCAATTTTCCATGAATCTCTCTCTATTTATTATGAAAAAAGAAACAAAAATTCAACAATAACATTTTTATTCGTCTAAATTTCTGAGATGAGGTATTATGTACATTATTTACATTATTCGGACTACTGACCTCATCTTTGTCGTCATATTTATTACAACGTTTCGGCCGTTGTACGCTTCGACCTTTTTCAGTATTTGTCTATATTTCTGAGATGAGGTGTTATGTGCACTATTTATATTATTCGGACTATTGTTCTCATTTTTGTTGCCATATTTATCACAACGTTTCAGCCGTTGTACGCTCCTTCTTCAGATGGTTGGAATGTCGAACTTAACCCTTTATTTCGCTCACTGGTGTAGACTGTTCTAGTTCCACGCGCCATGTTTAATGGACGTCAGTTATCAGTTATCTCCTGTTAATTTCCCTCTCCAAGTTCTCCACCGCCTTAACCGGGTATTGAACACATACTCCTTAAGGTTAAGGCAGGAGATAACTAAAAACTGACATCCATCAAACATGGCACCTGAAACTAGAACAGTCTACCCCAGTGAGCGAAATAAAGGGTTCAGTTCGACATTCCAACCACCTGAAGAAAGCCGGACCGTGATAAATATGGCGACAAAGATGAGGACAATAGTCCGAATAATGTAAACATTATAATATTTTTAAATATGAATATCGACGCGCATTTTTGTAAACTGAAAATAAAATAATATTTTTATTAAAAAATAAACAAAGCAGCAATTTTTATTAACAAATAACTCGCCTATAAAAACGCCTGGTAATTATGCACCAACCCAATAATAAATTTTAATTGGATGTTACTTTCCTTAACAGTTAGGAATTATAAAATTATGAATTATAGTTTAAGTATCCCCTATTTTTTCTTTGAGTTTCTTTTTCTTCCATGGGTCACTACTCTTCAGAAGATAGGCAACTTGGACCCTCCACAACTTCCTATCTCCAGTAGCAGTTTTTCTTCCGTGCTAAGGCCATCGAGTCCATCCTGCAAACGATTCACGCAAGCACAACAGGTAAGAGGCTCGCTTCCTTCCCCG